CTGTTGTGTTCCCCTATAACACCAGCAGCTTGTGTTCAGCATGCAAAAAAAATCCTGGGTTCTGCTTTCAATACTGAGGTTCCCAGTTTTAAGGTTCTCATTGTGATCATAAGGATTCCATCATTTCTAGAAGAATACACCCACCAGGTGGCATTAGCTGTGAAGTTTGCAAAAACAGGCTTGACATATATGTTTCCCTTTAACAAATGAAGTGCAGAAGAAATTGTATCACTTCTACTTTTCTCAGCTGCCAAATTGTAGCAATGTAGCAAGCCTTAAGTAAAATATACAGAGAATGTGGGAGCACTCTGGTCCATAGCTGTGTGTCTCTCGTACCAAAACATCCTGTCTATTCACTTATAGCATGGTGTCAGTGATATTCCCATCCTGTGCTCCACTGACAGGTCTTCTCTCAGGTGGAGGAAAGTGCCACGCAGTCAGTGAACACAGGACTCTATTATGCAGGACACAGTGCTGGGCTGTTAGGAATTCCTGCTGACATTAGAATTCTACTCAGACTTTGTGCTATGAAAGTCTCCATTGTCCAGTGCATGCCTCTCTCACATAACATTTCCATGTTTATTTGCAGATGCCAGACCTATTCACGAGGAGGACGGTAATGACAGTTTCCACACTTTGCTTACTTTCACTGCAACTAATATTTCTATATAAACATTACATTCGTTATTCCCCTAAAGCAGAAGTAAAGGCTCTTTAGTGAAAATTGCTAAGTGCCCTTCACATATATGCGGATTGGATGAGGTTTGAACTGCATTTAATCTGCATGACATGTGAAAAAACATTGCTTCCTATGGTGTCAGTTCACATGTGTTCGGTGCACTGGCAGTGTGGATTCAGTGCAATTTTAAAGAGTCATGTCCGGTTTCTGAGCAGTGCGGTCCGGTTCAGGTGCGGATTACAAGCCATTGACTTCTATGGGAACTGTTTGTAAACCACATATGTGTGAACAAGATAAAATCCTGTTCTGAACCTGATGTAAACCTGACATGAACCTGTGAACTTCTACTGCATCAATTAGCTGTGAAACCTGAGCTTCAATCTGTACCGTACATGTGTGAATCAGCTCTGACAGGCAGGCTTTCACTGCAGAAGAGATTCTGGGAGGAATTCAATAAACCATTAGTGCCACTTTTCTGGCAGTATGGCCATTTGGAAAGTCCTGCAAAACATTCACAAAAGCCATGCTGCCACTGTTGGCAGCTTTTGCAAGGTGGCACTATGGCTGCACCATTTAAAAAGTGTTATCTCTAGTTCATAGATAATGAAACTGGAGATAATTAAGACCAATTCTAAGTTGGTGTAAAGAGACAGGTAGAGTGCCTTTCTCTGTACACTGTGTAGCAGGGCAGAATGTTTGCTGTCACAACCCCCCCCCCCCAGTCTGTCACTGGTTGTCAAAGAAGCTTCCTAGCAACCAGTAATGCTGACAGTGGACAAAGCCTGATGGGGAAATTGAGGAAATAGTTTCCTATCAGGTCTGCTCTCTTCTTCTGATTGACAGCAGGCAGTTGGCGGATTCTATAGCCAATAGCAGGCTAACTGTTGGGGTAGGAATCCACCCCTTCCCTCTATCAATCAAGGGAAGGGGACCTGATGGGGAACTAGCATGTCTAAAACCCCATCAGGCTCCACTGACCCAGCCACAAAACTCCTCTGCCGCTGCTTCCTTTCATGCCATCCATTGTATACTATTGTGATGAGCACACTATAAAAAAACAGATACGCCAAGGGCCTCTATAGCCAATGCAGAAAAGATAATAGAATATAATAATCCTGCATGTGAAGGCTGCCAAATGATTGCTGACACCACCCTAAATAAATTCATTAATATTGGGCATGGTCAACAAAACTTTTAGAAAACACTTAAGTGAAAAGAGGGATAGAGAGTACCCCCAAAGAAAGTTTCATAAGGGATCATGCAGCTTATCACAAAATTGGCTATTATGGAATAAAAAATCTAAAAATAGTCTCATAGACCGCCCAGATGGGAAACACACTGACATCATTGTAGTGAATAGTAAATAGTCAGCAGAATGTCCACATAGAGTTTCAAATAGGAAAAAAGTTACTTTATGCTGTAAGAGTAGAATGAATCCTATGACCATACATGTGGTAAATGGACTTGTATCACCATCAATGAGCAAATGTCATCAACAACATCTCACCCTTCCTTGTGACATTCTAGTTGCCGTCCGCTTTGACAGTCCTAGGAGTACTTTTGTTACAGTCCTGCCAGATGGCGATAAGTTGCACTTCAGTGTCATGTACAGCGCCGGCTGTATGTTTCACTGTGGGTGAGGGACAAGCGATACTGTAAGCCCATGCAGGGATCCCTGAAGAAGCCTAAGTGCATTGGGTGAAACATGTCTGACCACACGCCCCCATGCACGTCTTGCACATGACGTCATCATGCACGGCGGCTGTGTCTATCTGACCTCCATTGTATTCATGGGTTTACAGCATTGCTTCTCCCTCACCCACAGTGAAATATTCATACAGCCGGCACTGCACATGACACTAGAGCGCAACTTATCGCCATCTGGCAGGACTGTAACGAAATTACTCCTAGGACTGTCAGAGCTGACGGCAAGAAGAATGTCACAAGGGAGGGTGAGATGCTGATGATGATATGTGCTCATTGATGGTGATACAGGTCCATATACTACATATATGGTCATAGGATTCACTCTACTCTTACAGCATATAACTTTTTGCCTATTTGAGCCTCTATGTGGACATTCTGCTGACTATTCACTACAATAATGTAAGTGTGTTTCCCATCCGGGCGGTCTATGGGACTGATATTTCCACACCTGCAACTTCTATGGGTATTCCTAGACTCAGGCCATCCAATGTTCACTATAGGCAATACAATAGTGACTGCGATGTCATGATGACTGTGGTACTTCCTATGTGATCTTCTAAATCTGTGATCCTACTTCATCCATCGATTCCCAAGTATGCATGTGTGTGGTTGGTTGAGCAGCTGCCTGGGTGTTTAGACAATGTTATCTTTTTAAATTTAGTAAAGTGTCAGTGGTGACCGTTCACCTTGTTTGTTACCTGTGTGATACATTTAGATTTTTTTCAATAAAAGCCATTTTTTTTATAAGCTGCATGGTCCCTTATGAAACTTTCTTTGGGGGTACTCTCTATCCCTCTTTTCACTTTTCCAATTCTGTTGCTAGCTGTGATTGGTCACAGTGATCACACGGTACAGACTGGGCCAATCGCAGCCCATATGTGTAATGTGATTAGCTGTGGCCAATCACAGCCAATCACATCAAAATAAACTGAATGAATTGATCTCATTCAACAAAATGCTTGCTTTTAGCAAATAAATTCATTGCTATAAGTAATCATAATGACTAGAAAAAAAAAATAAAAATAATGATCACTTGCCCAAAATAGTACAATGTAACTATGGTATTATATTACTCTGATCACAGTGTATTATAAAAAAAAAGTAATAAAAAAGGAAAATAATGTAATAAAAAAGAGAAACAAATCAAATATTTCCAGTCAGTGTCCCTGATCATCGCCACACCACTTATATGATGACGCTGTACTGCACTGGTGAAAGTATGTTAAAAAAAAAAAAGTTAACTTTTTTTTTAATTTCTTCATTTTCCAAAAAAAAAATGACAAAAAATTACAACTTCAAAAAACTCACCATACCTCTTAATAAATATCTCAGACTGTCTACTTTCCAAAAAGGGGCAATTTGGGGGATATCTGTATCTCAAGAAATGAGATTGGCCATCAGTACAGCAGGATTGATTGATTTTCAAATATATCCCATAGTTTGTGGACTCTATACCTTTCCTGCAGACTAAATAATATACACTGATTTGGGTTATTTTCACCAAATAAATGTAGCAGAATACATTTTGGCCTAAATGTATGAAGAACAATTATTTATTTGCAAAATTTTATAACAACAGTGAAAAAAAACCTTATTTTTCAAACTTTTTGGTCTTTTTTCGTTTCTTTAGCAAAAAATAAAAAACACAGTTGTGATCAGATACCACCAAAAGAAATCTTTAATTGCGTGAACAAATGATAAAAATTTAGTTTGGGTACACTGTTGCATGATCGCGCAATAGTTATTCAAATTACAACAGTGCTGAAAGCTGAAAATTGGACTGGGCAGGAAGGGAGTAAAAGTGCCCGGTATTGAAGTGATTAATGTTTGAATCATTCCTCACAACTGAGATCCTCCACCCCCCTCCCCCATTACGTTTTGTTGCCCTTCTTTGGACTCTCTCCAGTTCTAGCACATCCCTACTGAGGACTGGAGACCAGAACTGGACAGCATACTCAAGATGTGGTACAATTATAGTCCGGTCTCTTGAGTAAATACCATTTTTTATTGCATGCTAATAGTCTGCTAGCCTTGTTTGCTGCAGCTTTGCATTGCAAGCTATTTCTGACCAGTCACCTACTAGGACTTCCAGATCCTTTTCTATCCTTGATTCCCCCAGAGGTTCTCCCCCTAGCACGTGACTTGCATACAAATATTTAGTTCCCAAATGCATTATTTTGCATTTTTCATTTTTAAACCTCATCTACCATATAGCTGCCCACCCCTCTACTGAAATTAGTTCTACTTTAGTTTTATATTTGGAGACAGGGTATGCTCTGAACGGTTTCATTTCTCTTCTGCCTTGTTTTTTACTGATAAACCAGGTTAGGCTCAAAACCTTACTCCCTTTTAGTAAAATCACGTCTTTGCATGAAACAAAGGTCATGCATCACTTCTAATCTCTTCTCATCAATGCATACTTACTCTTCATTTTATACTTCTCTAGAGATTATCATTTGTACCTAATAATCTTAATTAAATAGAGCAAACTCACTTAAACAAATCCTAATGTTATTTAATATTCTTTCCAGATCGATATTTGGATGCCCCTGCACACCCCTACTGGCCCTTCTCTACCTCAGATTTCTGGCAGTATGTAAACCATTTCCGTTCAATGGGTGCCTACGAAAACATCAATGACCTGGCTCGTACTTTCTTCGCTCACTACCCTATTGAAGAAACTCTGGGATACGATCATGTCGATCATTAGGAGGCTGTTTATAGTTCCCCCCTGCTCATCTCTATTAAAGCTGTATATACACAAACACTATATTCTTGAAGATTAGAGCCCAGATATGTCAGGCTGTGCCCACATGCAAGATTTAATCAGTTTGGTCACTGTTGGTGCACTAGTGTGTCTTACAGTAATTGTCGTGCAAATGATATGCTTTATATGCTGGTGTCAGCTTCTGTCATCTCTCCCCTTCAAGAAACAGAAGACCTTGAAAGAGTAACATTTCTGTAAAAATTACCAATCTGCAGCACCGTATTTATAAGCAATAAAGTGATGGCTATGGAATACCACTTTCTTTTACTTACTCGTAAATATTTTATTTTTTATGCTCATCATGGCCACTAGGTACTCTATTAACATGCATGTTATCGGCATTTGGCTTGGAGAGTTAAATATTTCTACAACTGTGATTGTTACATTTAGCGATCACTGAGATTTTGGTGTGATAGTGATAACTAAATGTGATTAAACAGTCCACCCAAAACTGTTACTTTAGTTTTTTTGAGGATGCTGGTGAATCACAAAACACTTTCCTATGTGCCTTGAGGTCTCTGGTGGTGAGATCTCTTCCTTTGACTTACACAACTGCTACAACCGTGACAAGGAGGTTTTGCTCTACTTGCACATTTTTATCATTTGAACTACAAGTAGTGAAAAGTTCCCTGTTATTTAGGAAAGAGTGAGCCTCTGAGCATTATGCCTGTGGTTTCTCACCACTGTAGCCCACAAGAGATATAAGAAACCAGAGGGCAATTCAGTCCGTAGGGCTCCATCTAGTACTGAAATATCACTGAATGCTGAAACAACCCTTTAAACGAATGATGGTTTCAAAAATATTCATAGACATCACAATGGTTCAATATATTTTTTACACATTGGAATAATTCACTAACCCCCAGCGTACTGAGGCATGAAATGAATTAGATGCTCAAGAACAAGCTTGTCCCAAAAAATACCTTACACGTAGCTAGTAGTAATCACATTCAACTAGACATGTTCTGTAATGCTGAAAACATTATCTTATTAGCTGAACTTATTATTATCAATTATTAACTTATTATGAACTTTATTATTATTAATCATTATCTTATTAGCTTATAAATGTCACTTCTTGGGTTCTAATGACTGACAAGAACATACCCCAGCATTTGTCACCGCTGTCTGCTCTGCCCCCGCCCCAATTATCTCAATGGAGCGCTGGGCTTTCCCCAGCCTGGACCGGCTGAGTGACATCAGCTGACAGCGGGCTGAAGCTCACTGTCAGCTGAAAACAGGTCACAGGAGTACAGAATGAACTTCACTCCTGTCATCTGCAGAAGTACACCAAAAGAGCTTTGGCTGTACTTCTTTTTTAACCATTAGAACTAAAGAAGTGGCTTGGATAAACACTTCAACATTACAGAACAAGTCCAGCTGAATGTAACTATCAACTTCTAGCTGTACCATGACATGGATAATTAAGAACCTTTAAAGACACCATACATGTATGTATTGATAAACAGTTTTGTCATATAGGGAAATTGTAAACTGTTCAACAACAAAGATTGCAAGTAGAAGAAAAAGGCAGAAAGTCGTATACAAGACATTATTATTGTCATTATGTACTCACCAATAAAGTTTAGGTGCATTATGCTGCTGTGGGAAGACAGACAGAGCCAGTCCACTGTATTATCCACTGGTGTCTCTGGACTAACTAAAGTAGTAAACCTAGCTCCACTTTCTTTGCCAGTAAAACTGTAGCTCCTCCCGCATGCTATAAAACTTCAACTGCAATAAACTAAAAAGAGAGATTTTTAACACCATGGCTTGAAAATCTGATTGTATCCATTAAGAGGGACAAGGTGATCCACAACTGCCATAGGAAACTAGCACAGGGGGACAGGAAACATGTCCGATACTTTAGGATGTCCTTAAAGTCTGGACACCTAGAAAATATCACTATATGTGTGTGTGTTCCTTTTTCAATTGAATCAAAAGCTGTTTCATGGCCAGGTGTGGGCTACTTCTTCATTATTTCTTCATCAATTAAGCAGGTAAAAGGTCTGGAGTTGATTCTAAGTGTCGTATTTGCATTTGGAATCTATTGCTGTGAACCTACATCATGCGTTCAGAGGAGCTGTCCATGCAAGTGAAACAGGTTGAAAAAGGGTGTTTTTATAAAAAATTAGCAAATCTGTTCATCCTGTGAAACTAAGTTCACATTTGTTCTGTACAAATGAGTGCAAAAACAAATGTTATTGGGTTATTTTCTCTCCAGGTCAAAGCTGTTCACCTATACAGGATAGGGTGGCCAATAGATAGAGTTGATGATCATATGAAACAAACACTATTTACTATGCCCCTCAGCTACCTCAGCTCCATCTAGTTGCCATAATGTGGTATTTTCTTGATTCACTCTATTCTTATGATGAATAACATCCGGCCTGGAGAAAAAATATCCTAAAACATTTGATTTTTACAGCATTTACCTAAGACTAATATACATACAGTTCTGCAGGATGAACAGCTCTGCACATTTACATAGTTACATAATTAGTCTGGCTGAAAAAAGACAAAAGTCCATCAAGTTCAACCATTAAAAAAAAAGAGTCAATAATCCATACCCACAGTTGATCCAGAGGAAGGCAAAAAACCTCAGCAAAGCACGATCTAATTTGCTCTTTCAGGGGAAAAAAATTCCTTCCTGATCCCCCGAGAGGCGATCAGATATTCCCTGGATCAACTTTACCTATAAATGTTAGTATCCAGTTATATTCTGTGTATCTAAAAAGAATCCAGGCCTTTTTTGAAGCAATCCACTGAGCTGGCCAGAACAAACTCTTGAGGGAGTCTATTCCACATTTTCACAGCTCTCACTGTGAAGAAACCTTTCCATGATTAGAGATTACATTTCTTTTCCTCCAGACGTAAAGAGTGCCCCCTTGTCCTCTGTGATGACTTCAGGGTGAATAGCTCTACACCGAGTTTAGTATGTGAACCACTGATGTATTTATACATGTTGATCATACTCCCCCCCTCTTCCCAAGAGAGAATTTCTTCTAGATATACCATCAAACATCATTTAACCCATTGATGGTGAGTCCAGTGTGTCAAGGCTCCGCCCACTGATCTGGACTTACAGGAAAATGCGGCAGAGAAGGATGATTACACTGCTCTACTCTATGCAACATAAAGAAACCACTCACTGCTGTAGGAAAAAAGAGGGTGAAAAGGACATGTGAGGTCACTGAATCAATGATAGCTGGAAAAAGATATGCATGTTTTTTTTTAGTCCAGAGTTTGGATTTAAAGAGGAACTTAACACCCTATTCCTCCCCCCACCCTTTACTTTTATAACTGGGTTAGTCACATAAATATACTCACATATTCAGCAGCAACCAAGAAAGGTCATAATTAGAGATGAGCGAATCGAACATGACGAAGTGGAATTCGTTCCAAAGATTTGGAAAAATTCGATTCGCGACGAATCCGAAGATTAGCAAACTTCGGATGCACGTATCGAATTTTCCCAAAAATGGCGGCGATATGTGTGGCGACGGAGAAAATGGACAGAGAAGATGGGGCGGGGATCTCTGGGAAGGCGCGCAGACAAGGCGCGCTGACCCATAATGCATTCATGACATGTGATCGCATTAGCCAATCAGCAGCCAGCCAGCACTGTGTAATGGTGGAGCTATAAATCGCGGCCATCTTAGAATTCTCCATTAGCCTACGGTCATTCAAGAGAGACAGACCTGTGTGTATTAAGGGACAGAGTTAGGGCCACAGAGACTTTAGGGCCACAGAATCGTTACTCAGGGCCACAGAATCGTTACTCAGGGACACAGAATCGTTACTCAGGGACACAGAATCATTACTTAGGGCCACAGCTATCAAAGAATCGAAAATTTAAAGTGACATACACCCTTTTTTTTTTTGGTGGCTGTCGTGCACAGTTGGTGCTGCAGTTTGCCGATTGTACAAAATAAACTGACTTTCTGCTTCACAACCACTATTGTACGTTCAAAAGAGTTAAATCCATTTACACGCCGGTGGCGGTAATATTTTTTGGGTGATTAGTGCATTCCAGTGACAGAAACGTACAGTTTCCAGCCAACGGCAAGCTGCAATTGACCGATTGTGTACAATAAACTGACTTTCTGTTTCACAACCACTATTGTACGTTCAAAGAGTTAGATCCATTTACACGCCGGGTGGCGGTAATATTTTTTGGGTGATTAGTGCATTCCAGTGACATAAACGTACAGTTTCCAGCCAACGGCAAGCTGCAATTGACCGACTGTGCTAAATAAACTGACTTTCTGCTTCACAACCACTATTGTACGTTCAAAGAGTTAAATCCATTTACACGCCAGCTGGCGGTAATATTTTTTGGCCCCCTGTACCGGCTCCTCATGAACGTGGTTCAGCGGGTTTGCATCACTTAACGGCAAATCGTTGACAAACGCTGGGACGTTCAGTGTTGTGCGCATTAAGCCAGACACCAAAGGGCAGCACAGACCTGTTATTACTCGCTCAAGCATGGCTGAACAAAACCAGTCTCTACCACAAATTGGACCCAGACCTGCCCAGGGTCTCGTAAGTAGATTGCACGGAGGGAGTAGAGTTCGTTATTGGAATTAACTGTGAGAGACTTTTAAACCTAGGCCTGTGTATGGCCTTCAATTGAAGCTGCTTCTGCTCCGCCACTCTGCCATTGGACTCTTGATAGTCGTCTCCCCACGCTGCTGCTGGGGGGACTTTTTAACATAGGCCTCTGTATGGCCTTCAATTTTAGCTGCTTACGCTCCGCCACTCTGCCATGGGCCCCTGTACCGCCTCCTCATGCTGCTGGCAGGCCCGTAATCTGCCATGGGCCCCCGTACCGACTCCTCATGCTGCTGCCAGGCCCGTAATCTGTCATGGGCCCCTGTACCGCCTCCTCATGCTGCTGCCAGGTCCAGAGTGTGTCATGGGTCCCTGTACGGCCTCCCATT